CTTGGTCCTATGTTCAGCAGCTGATTGGGAGATTTTAGGATGAGAGAGCTAAGGTTGGTCCTAATGCTTTATGCTGTGGTTTTTAGCAAGTCCCTTAACTCCGAGCTTTGGGTTGCTTATCTGCTAAATGGGGAGAGGGGTGTGGAATGGTGTTGGCTGATTCTGCTGGGCCACCATGAGGAGCAGCTAAGTGGATATTAACATGAAAAACCCTTTACATTAAAAACACCTAAATGACAAAAACCTGAGTTGAGAGGAGGGTATATACATATATATGAAGGCAATTGATTAACTCAGATATGATTTTCTTTTCTTTTCCAATGGGTACTGAAGAGGCTCAATGATCTCTGAAGTTAGCATATGCGATGCCTATTTCTGAGACTAAAACTAGCCCCACTGCCCACCTATTTCCTTATCTATTCCAAAAGGAACCCTCATGAGCGGTTTGCAGCTAGTTTTCCAAACTATATATAAGTAGTGTTCAAATAGCAGCTTGCACTTTTTATTATGTGGCATCCAAAAGTAGCTGGTTAAGAGGCTTTGCCAAGTCTTGACTAGCATCATTAAATAATACGTGCATGTTTAAATACTGGACCCCTAAAGTAATAACTTAAAATTATTTCTAAAGAAAAGGGGTGCACCCACATTATAAGGACTCTCTCCAGTGCTGGGTTGCTTGCGTAGTGCTTGAAATTTAGTTAATTATAGGTTTACAAGTTAATGAATGTTTAAAATTAAAAATCTTTCCTCTACACTGATGTGGTATGCCCCAGTGTAGATTTCTTTGCATTTTTATTCTTTTGTATTCAATCGCTTCAAAATACTTTATTAATCCTAATATGTCCCTCAAGTAAAAGGTAATTGGTCAGTAGGTCTGTGCTTATCTAACATGTAAGAATATTTTATGCCTACAGCCAAATACTGGACGACTAGGTTGAAATATTAGCTCAAAAACTCAGTATGTCAAAGATGGGCCAATGGTTTAACTAATCTCGTGGGTCCTAGGCTAGTGGGGATTAAAGGAAATGGAAGCAGGAGGCATTAGAAGCTGTCCTCTGGTAGGAAGGAATATAAAAGTAGTAAACCAGTGCAAACATTAAGTGAAAAAAGGCGAGAGAAACTAGATGTTTCCTCATCTCCAAAGCACAAAAGATACATCTCCTGACTTTTTTCCCCACATGCAAATATCTAGATAATGTATTGGCTTACAACCTGGACTCTGGATATAGACTATCTGAATTTAAATATCAACTCAGCCTTACTTAGTTGAGCTAGTTATGTAATGGCTTTGTTATAATATAGAAATTTGAGTGCCTAATAGGTTTGCCATGACGATTAAATGAGATCATGTATATGAAGTGTTTAGCATGGCACACGCAGCATAGTACACTGTAAGGACTACTTGATAACAAGCAGCACTAACATGTATCATCACCCTTATTCTTCCTCCCCATCCATTGCTTTAAAACAAACTCAGCATAAGCACTGAAACAAGATAGGTTCCCTTTGTGCTCAGTCATCAGTGTGCAAACATGGACTCTGTTTCTATGTTACAGATGCTGACAGTGGACTTCTCTTGGCATCTCCAGAAACCCAAGTCTTGATCTAAGTGGTGCATATCCTCCTGTCTGACAAAGACTAAGGAGCTGAGTCATTGCCCATACACACTGTGCTATTGGATTACTGTGCTCAGAAAAATTATACAAGGCAATGTTTTGCCCAGGGATGAGAAAAAATATATAGAGGGTAGTACTTGGATATATAGACTGGAATGGTATGGATCCTTGACAAATGGAAAGTTAGAATGTGTGGAGGATAAGACAAAGGGGAATGAAAGCTTTTATCAGCTTAGGAAAAAATGATCATGAATATAATATATTCTTACATACTTGTTCAATTACTTTGACCCCTTTGGAGCTCAATATTTGAATAGAGAGTGGAGATGTACATGCATGTATGAAGCAGAGGGCGGGATGTATCAGTGACTGCAAATTGACGCTGTGTGAAAAGTCAGCACATGTCACTGTGGTGGATGTGGCTAAAAAGGTGCTGACCTGCCAACAAAGATGTATAATCATGGCCTCTTCAGGGGCTCTGGCTCCAGGCCTCTACCTGCTGCTGCCCTGCCTGGAAGGGGCTCTACCAGCTGCCTCATCTGCTCTGAACTGGCTTGGTCATCAGAGCACCCCGCTGCCCCAGTGTGCTCTCTGTCAGGGCTGGCCAGCCATGGCCACTGCCCCCAAACACCCTCCATCCTCATCTGTGGAAGAGTACAGCCACCAACACTTTCACAGTGTCTTTCTTCTTTCCAGTAAGCCCACTGATTGTCCTCTGAATCTGAGAAATGGAAAATCTACTCACACATGTATTTTCTTTTTTCATTTTCTTTCTCCCTCCTTCCTTCCCTTCCCTTTCTTTCTCTACCCCTCATACTTTTTTTGCCTGGGTGAAAATATGCTACTATAGAGCCTCATTCTCAAGGTTCCACATACTGCAGGCTGTAACATTGCACCTTCCAAACCTAATAGGTGGGTGTTCCATTTCTATTACAAAAGAAGTAGAGCTTCCCCCTTAAAAGGTTCACACTTAAGCCCTGGGTCTAAGAAATAGGGCAGCAGATTCACTAACTTCCTGTAAATTTAATAGCTCCTCTTCATTTCAAAACTAATGATCTTTAGTATTCTATTCTTCATTAAGTATTAAGTCTCCAAACTTTCCCATAAACTAGGAAATCAGTTGCAAACGGAATGCTAATGCAGGTGCTTCCTCTGCGTGCTATGAAACTCAGAACTTGTGCCTGTGTGGGCTGCTCTGTGAGGTTCTGTGGGCCCACCAGGAAGTGTTGTTGTTGTTAGGTGCCGTAAAGTCGATTCTGGACTCATAGCAACACTGTGTGACAGAGTAGAACTGTCCCACGGTTTTCTAGGCAGTAATCTTTACAGAAGCAGATCACCAGATCTTTCTCCCACAGAGCTGCTTGGTGGATTTGAACCACCAACCTTTGGGTTAGCAGCCAAGTGCTTAACTGTTGTGTCACCAGGTCTCCTTGATTCTCAGTTTGCAAACGGAGATTCTGTAAGACTCTTGACATTTCTTAATTTCTCTCGGTTGAGTCCGCTCATAGTCACAAGACCAAAAGGAGGGGAGTCAGATACCTGACTGTAACATACTGCTGAAGAGCAAGACTTCAAGGTGGGGTCTCCTACTTTTAAATGGGACTTGTATGAATAGCGCGATGGAATTCTAGGGCTGGAGATTCCCTTTCATCAGCTACTCAGATCTCTCAGCCTTCCTCCCCTTTTCCTTCTTCTTTCTCAGTCTATGGATATAATTTTATTTATTATTTGAAATATATCCTTAACACACTTCTTAATCTAAGTGGGGCAGGAATAAAATATACTTCAATGCAAAATTACAGTCGCTCACCTTCTCTAACTGATCCAGTTGTCCCATTTCTTCTTTTCAATCCCTGTAAAGCCTTCCTATTACTAAGTGTATGCTTTAGTTAACCAGGTCAGTTTAGATTTGTCTGAATCTTGAATGGGATCCATAATGTCAGGAATGAAGCAAGCAACTGCAGTTCTGGATAAATACCCTTTCAGGTGTCTTGGGGATAGTGATGAAGCAGCTGAAGCAAAGAACAATGAGTCTGGTCTTTGAAGAGAAGTAAACAGGGCTATGCATTTTAAACTCATATTGACACAGCATGTGTATAGCTGTATCCCATCAAACTCTAACAAACTGACGTCAATGAGGATTATGAATGAGAAACTGAAGGCCAAATTTAGAGTCATTTGTGGTAGTTGTTTTTTATAAGTGGAGTTGGATCTTGAGAGCAGTTTTAAAATAGCGTTACTACTACATTTCAAAAGAACTCTCACTTAAATTGATTTTTCTTGAAGGCTTCTCTAAACTGAATAAAGCAAGATGGCGATATCTCTCCTAGTCAGAGTATTTCTAGTTTTTCTAATTGAATTGGTGTAGGAAAAAAAAAAAACAAAACTTAGTGTTTTGCTATTCCATGATAATAATAATAATGGATTCTTTGGATTAAAAAACAAATAAAACATTGGTCTAAATGAACTTTCAGGCCCAGTGTGTACCAACTTTTTTGCTAGTTGTACTCATTCCTATACATAGGTCCCTATTCCAAATGTTATCATTTTCCTCTGATCCCACTCGTCATACTTCTGTCTCTCAGAAGCATTAACTTCTACGCTCAGAGCCACGGGGCCAAAGAGGCAGAGAGGTCGAATAGCTGACTGTAACATGCTGCTAAAGAGCAAGACTTCAAGGTGGGGTCTCCTAACATAAGTAACTTTAAAGTGATTGATCCCTCCCTAGTCTGCGTTCAGAGTCTTCTCTGGTCTTCAGTAATGTTTCTCTTTCTTACCATTCCACATCTGCTCAAAAAAAGTATCTGAAAAGTCCCATCTCCTGCTGTCATATGGGAACCTTTCTGCAATTCTTTTCCCTCCTCCAAATTTTATATTCGGTTTTAATCAGTCAGTCTACCCTGCCTCTTGGGTTGTTAAAAATACACTTTCTTTTTTCAGCCTCCCTTTCTTCCAGCACCTTATCTATTCTCACTGAATATTTCTTCCTCAATCACTCTCATTGGTGCCATTTTTTAAACTGCCATACACTCCCCGGCTCTTACATCACCTCTGCTTCTTAAAGGGACCATCACCAAAGAGATGTATGTTCAATGAATATTCTTGCAGTTCAAGCAGCCAGGAAAAAAACACAGCTAAACAAAACAACCAAAACCAAAGCAGTTATCAGAAATAAGCCAGGGGATAGAGAGAAAGTTGCTCCACTTATGAATCTCTCCTTATGCACAGGAATTGATAACCCTAGTGTTTTTGTTTCACTGACTGTATTCTTATTTTGTATAAGCTTGCCTTTAATAGATAAGGGAATGAGTTTTCAAGTTTTCCCGGTGAGATTTCAATACACTTAATTCTATGGAATTGGGCCCTGCTTCTCTGCATACTTACTGAAAAGGACGAGGCTGGCATTGGTGACCCCTAGCTTGTTGGTAGCCACGCAGGTATAGTTGCCATAGTGCTCCTCGGTCACGTTGGCCACCGTCAGGGAGGACTGACCCTCCGTGCTCTTAATCTCCAGACCATTGGCGCTGTTTATCCTAAGAGTTCAAAAACAGACGAGCGAAAAGAAACACTGATGACATTTCTAACTTAGTAATTCTCTCCCCATAATTACATTGAAGGAAAAGGAAAGAAAGAAATTAGAGTCTGTTCTTCCCTGCTCAGTTCCAGACTTTAATTGTGTAATCCTGTATTACCAGAATCAGTGTTCATAAACAGAGAAGACTCAGGAACTAATAAGTTCCACTGGGCTTGAGTGTCGGCTCCTGGCAAGAAAGACATGCAGATGGAACACTAACCACAGAACTACCTACCTCACTGTCTGCATTTTACCTGGGTAAGAGCTGTAGGCCCCTAAGCACGTGATAAAGAAATATGGAAGAGCAGTAGTCTAATAGTATAGGTATACGTCATTACAACTCTGTTTGGTTTTGTCATTAGGAACTGTGGGGTCCCTAGGACAAACTGGGGGGTCACTGGTACATGACAGTTTGGAACATACCTGGTGTCATCCCGGTACCATTCAAAGTCAGGTGCAGGCACTGCAGAGGCTTCACACTTGAGTGAAGCTTGTCGCCCTGTGGTAGCTTCGTTGCTCTTGGATTCTGTGATAGTGGGAGGATCTGTAGGTAGGACAGGCACACAGGTTTACATGAGGGTCAGAGAGTGCTCCAGAATTTCCATGCAGGAAGGAATTAGGAAGGACAATCTGATTGGAAAGGGGCTGGAAAGAGTCTTCAAGCTCCATTTACAGGAATTATATGATCAGCTGAATGGGAGAGATCACTAGAAAACTAAATAAAAATAAGAGATGATTACTGAAACTGGATACTTGATTTACTTAAATGGGACATTTAACAGGGTTTTATGGAAACAGGACCCAGGATTTCTTTTTCCTTCTTACAATACCCAAAACAAATTGCCATAGAGTTGATTTCAACTGGTGATGCCTCTTACAATAGATCATCAATTATTACAAATGAAGATTGTAATATTTGCAGTTTTTTTTATTATAAGTTAAGCTGTTGTTCTAAAAGGGCTTAGAGTTTTTCTTCATCTTCATCACATAATCATTATTGTTATTATAGTTAGAGATGGCTTCAAGGAGTCTGATGAAAATAATAGAAGCCTAAAGTACTCCTAACCCAAGCTTGGCCTGATATTGTTTCAGGAAAGGCATTCAGAAAAAAACTTGTATTACATGATTATTATATCATCTTTTATCACATGGGTTCACTTATGCTATGACCTGGTAAATTTTGCTTTTGTGTGTTTTGGTACAGGTTGAAGTCTATGCTGGTACATAGAAGACTTCCTGATGGATTGACATTCTACTCTGTCTCATTTGTACACCTTTTTGTTTTCTTTCCAAGGAGTAGGCCTGCAAAACTATGAAAGACTTAAAATTAGCTTAGAAACATATCTGACATTCTAATTTCCTGTGGTTCTTTACAACAATCCTGAAGTAGGGGGAACACATGTTTATAGGTCCACACAACTGAAGCAGGATGGTAGATAAGAATTCCTGGTTTGACAATGCTGTGTTCATGCAGGTTATGGAGCTTCAAGGAGAAAAAGGCCCTCTGCCCAAAGGTTATTTGATAGAAAATGGTAATGTGGCTGTGTACATATGGCAAAAAATAAACCCAAGCATTCTGTTTAGATTTATAGAGAAAAAAGCCCTTTGAGGGAAATTAGTAAACTATAATACGCAAAAATCTATTAAACTCTGATCTTCAGCACCTGGTACATCTCACTTACTTATTCATTTTCTTTATATTTGGAAACTGTTTTCCAAGTTTTCAACTTGTAGAAGACCCTGATATTGTTAATTTAAAAGGATGTACAAAGTAGCAGTTTAGTCTGCAATTTTCTTCCTCATTTCATTTGCACATCAGCATGGACATCTGTACATCACTGTCAGAGAGAGGAGGACCTGGAACACATGTGGGTAGTCAGCCCATTTGTAAACAGGCATGCCGGAGTGGACTTGTATTGTTGTTTTGCTTTAGACTTGTCTGCCCATTTTCACATAGGCACGAAAAGGCAGTTTGATACAGTGGGAGGAACCTTGGATGGGAATATAGGAATCCTGGAGTTTAATTTCAGCTTGGCTGTGTGGGTTTCCCGTCACACACTCTATCATTCTGGGCCTTAGCTTTATTACCTATAAAATGAGAAAGCCACACTTTAACAATCTATAGAAGCCCTTCCAGCTATAAAAATATCAGTTTGAGTCAAAACCGTCCATTCTTACATATAAGCAGTTGGTATCATTATGATCCAAGTGTATTTTCTTACCCATACCCAATTAACCCTTAAATTGCTAAATGTCGATATTATAGCTCATGCATCTATTCCATGGATTAGGAATCAGAAGGCATAGTCAGAATAGGACACCAGGCATCTGATTTTGACTCTGCTCTTAACCAGAAGTGGTGCCTGGGCAAGAGTCTGCACCACTTTGAGCCTTTTCTTCCTCATCTTTTAAAAGAAGGAGTTAACTTCAAAAGATCATCAAGATTCCATTTAAAATTCCATCACTGTATGATGGGTTAACAAATCATTTAGAACACATTAGTTCAAAGAACAATGCAATAATTGGTGGTAGTAGTGTTGTTGGTGGTGGGTGATATCAGAGAGGAATGAGGCATGAAATAGAGGTTAAGTGCTCAAGTTTAGAGCCTAGTAGACCTGAGCTCAGACATAGACTCCATTCCTCAATAGAGTTTCGTACCTTTCCCAGGGTCACACTGCTTCAATGTCCTCATACACAAAGGCAGGGAGGTGCATTTGGAGGTTGCTAAAGTAATCCAGAGATGGCCTGCACTAAGATTGTGACAAAGAGACTGGAAGGGAGTGGACAGATTTGAGAGACACGGGCCTCAGAATCAACAATGCTAGCAATGGATTAGATGTGAAGGGTGAGAGAAAGGAGGAGTGGCAAAGGTGTCCGGCTTGGGCGTCTGGGTGATGCCACCCAAGATGCATAAGAGAGAGAGGCAATCAGCAGTAAAAGAGTCAATAAATGTTATTTTCCTTTCCTCACCTCTTCTCACTATCTTAGGTTCTTAGGCTGCCAAGCACTGTGGCCTATCTACACTGGCTAGCGTTTTGGGGTGAATTGTGTCTTTCAAAAGATATATTCAATCCTAAGCCTGGTTCCTGTGAATGTGTCCTTATTTGGAAATAGGGTCTTTATAGATGTAATTAGTTAACACGAGGTCATACTGGAGTAGTGTGGGCCCTAATCCAACGTAACTGGTGTCCTTATAAAAAGAGGAGAAGAAACACAGAGGCAGACAGACACGGAGGGAAGCCAGCCATGTGAAGACAGAGGCAGAGATTGGAGTTAAGTTGCCACAAGCCAAGGAACACCTGGGGCTACCAGAAGCTGGGAGAGATAAGAAAGGGTCTGCCTCTAGACCTTCCCTGATTTGGACTTCTAACTTCCAGTACAGTGAGACAATACATTTCTGTTATTTTAAGCCACCCACTTTGTAGTAATTTGTTATGACAGCTGTAGGAAACTAATATAGCTGGGGAAATAATTTCCTTGCAATTCTGTTGGTTTGCTCAGTTTTTCAATTTGTCAAATGAGTTTTAACCAGTGTTATGTAAGTTTCTGGAGCCACACTGTCATTATTAAGAAATTCATGATGATGACTCCTGCTTTGCTAAACCAGCCCTAAACCTGGGCTGGGCTTTACACTTCCCACTCCCACCACCACTGGTGCCTCGAAGTAATCATGACATGGTGGATGCCTTCAAGCCTCTCTACCAGTGGACAAGATCCTAGCTATAGTTTTGAGGCAGATTTCTTCCTCACTCTGGACATTTCCCAGTGGGAGTTTATTCAGTGAACCTCCTGCTCTGAGACCCAGGAGGAAGGAATGATTTTTCTAACTGAAAAATTTGGGAAGAAGAAACTGGGCTTGTTTGACTCATCTCTTCTCTTTCTTCCTCTTGGGACCAAGCTTCCAGCAGGGAGCAGAAGTCCTTCTATGCTTCTTATGCTGGAAATCTTACCAAGACTCTCTCCTTCCCCTTCTCCTGCCCCAGCCTAGGACTGCCATGATTAGTGAGGGAAGTCTGCCACACTAAGCTACTATACTACCTCTAACCACCTGGAGCTGAAACAAAGGGGGCATTTTGGCCTCCCACACTTCTTTTATTTGTGTCTCATTATGTTCACAACCTGGATGGCTAGTCAGTAAGCTATTCATTAGCCCTTCAGTGACCCAAGCATGGGAAAGCTGGCAGTAAACTAGGGTTGGGCACTTCTAAGTGCATCAATATCATATGCAAGTTAAAATTTTGCTGAAGATCATTCAAAAACAGCTGCAGCAGTATATTGACAGGTAACTTCCAGAAATTCAAGCCAGATTCAGAAGAAGACATGGAACCAGGGATGTCATTGCTGATTCAGATGGATTCCGGCTGAAAGCAGAGAATACCAGAAAGATGTTTACCTGTGTCTTACTGACTATGCAAAGGCATTCAACTGTGTGGATTATAACAAATTATGGATAACATTGCGAAGAATGGGAATTCCAGAACACTTAATTGTGCTCATGAGGAACCTGTACATAGATCAAGAGGCTGTAATTTGAACAGAAGAAAGGGATACTGCATGGTTTAAAGTCAGGAAAGTGTGCGTCAGGGTTGCATCCTTTCACCATACCTATTCAAACTGTACGCTGAGCAAATAATCCGAGAAGCTGGAGTCTCTGAAGAAGAATGGGGCAACAGGATTGGAGGAAGACTCATTAACAACCTGCGTTATGCTGATGACACAACCTTGCTTGTTGAAAGCGAAGAGGACTTGAAGCACTTACTGATGAAGATCAAAGACCACGGCCTTCAGTATGGATTACACCTCAACACAAAGAAAACAAAAGTCCTCACAACTGGACCGATAAGGAACAACATGATAAACAGAGAAACAATTGAAGTTGTCAAGGATTTCATTTTACTTGGATCCACAATCAACACCCATGGAAGCAGCGGTCAAGAAATCAAAAGATGTATTGCATTGGGCAAATCTGCTGCAAAAGACCTCTTTAAAGTATTGACAAGCAAAGATGTTACCTTGAAGACTAAAGTGCACCTGACCCAAGCCATGGTGTTTTCAATTGCCTCATATGCATGTGAAAACTGGATGATGAATAAGGAAGACGGAAGAAGAATTAACACCTTTGAATTGTGGTATTGGCAAAGAATACTGAATATACCATGGACTGCCAAAAGAACGAACAAATCTGTCCTGGAAGAAGTACAACCAGAATGCTCCCTAGAAGCAAAGATGGCGAGACTACTTCGGACATGTTATCAGGAGGGATCAGTCCCTGGAGAAGGACATCATGCTTGGTAAAGTAGAGGGTCAGAGAAAAAGAGGAAGACCCGCAATGAGATGGATTGACACAGTAGCTGCAACAATGGGCTCAAGCATAACAATGACTGTGAGGATGGCGCAGGACCGGGCAGTGTTTCGTTCTGTTGTACACAGGGTTGCTATGAGTTGGAACTGACTTGATGGTGCCTACCGACAACAACAAGTGCATCAATCTCGGGACAGTGTGGTACTTGTCAATTACAAAGGCCAAACATTTGCTTCTTTCCT